CAGTGACTGGGATAATCAGGATGGGAGTGTCAGAGACAGTGCGATTGGCACAGGACAGAGCAGAGTTTAGGGCTGTTGTACATAGGGTCGCTATGAGTAGCAAGCGACTCAACGGCACATAACAACAACAACATGGGACCATTCCACAGTGTCTTACAGGATTGCTGTGAATCTGTATAAACTCAACTGGAGAGCAATGGTCCTTGGTTACTGAGCACCTTGTCAAGGATCTTCTTGGTGGGAGACAAACAATTAAACAGAAATATCAACCTATATTCTATGTTGTTATTGCTGTGCACTGTCAAGTAAGAATCAACTCATAGCTGACCCTCTAGTATGTTTCCAGAGGCAGTTTAATCACATGAGAGGATATTGTCCATCTTTTTTCCCACAGAACAACTGGGGGATTCAAACCACATGCCTTTGGAATGGCAGTGCCGCTCCTTACCACTTGGCCACAAGGGCTCCCTCAATATCATACAGATAGTGTGGAGAACAAGTTAATATAGAAACCTATGAAAACCTTGTCAACTCCCTGAGAACACAGAAAGCAAACTTCCCGCCCCCGACTTAAACTAATCTTGTATTCGGTAAAAATAAATACATACATACATACATACATACATACATACATACATACATACATACATAAATAATGCTGATGTTGGAGTTATACCCGTCTCTTATTTAATGTGTTTATATGTGTGTTTGGGTAGGTATAGGTGTTTCTTTTTTAACTTAAACTAGGTTAAAAACTGTGCTGCAATGCCAAAGGCAGATGGTTCAAATCCACCAGCTGCTACATGAGAGGATGGGCAATCTCTTCTGTGTGATATACCACCTCTGAAAACCCACTGGAGGGTCAGCTGAGTCAGTTCCAACTTGACAGCACACAGCAACAACAAGAGTTCTTTTTACAATGGCACCTAAAACCACCTGCAAGGGATAATTTTTTATTAAAACATCATAAATGTACACACTCAGTGTGGAGTCATGAGCACAGTAGCTGGGGAGAGGTGGTAAGAAGAGAGTATGGAAGCTGGAAATTATCTTGGGGATTTGGTTCATTTGGGAAGGGAGTTCAGCTGGTACAGACAGCTCTGTCCCTGGAGCACTTGCCTTGGAGACTTTCATGAAGGATGATAAATACACCAATAGCCTTGCCTTCACTGCTAATCATATGTCTGCTCCTGAACACTCATCCAGAAGCCAGTGAATGAATTAAACTTTTTTGGTAGGGTGATTTTAGAACCAAGGTAAGGACAGACCTGGTGTTATCTCCTCAAACAAGCAAAACTCTTGGAAGAGCTACA